AAGCAAGAGCGTAGAAACTTGCTTAGCATCTTCCCACAGTCATGTTACTTTAATTCCACAAGGCCTGGTATTATCAAGAGCCCAGACCACATGTCTGTTAAACTACTTAGGAAAATTTAGCTGATCATTTTGCACTCAAATGAACCCCTGCAAACCCATAAAGGGGCAGTACTCACTGAGTCAGAACCAGGGCTGAAACAGCTCTTTGTCTGCCTTGGAGAGTAACTTGAAGACTGGTTACTGAGTGATAAGTCCACGTCTGAAAAACAAGATGTAAAGGAAGGAAAGGTTACTCACCAAAAATTCCCCAAAGTGTTAGCCAGGTCAATCTAGTTCTTGGCAATAGCCAGTTCTTCTCATCTCAGGACAACCCCTCTTAACAGAAAACGTGAGACAACTGCCCCAAAGCTTTAGCTGTTACTCAGCAGCGTCCACCAGCAGCAGTACTGTGCTACCCAAAAAGAGGAAGAAGTCTGCAGAGCAGGGGCAGGGAGTGAATGCAGCAAACTCCCTGCACACATTGGCTGCCATACAGGTTACATGTTTTTCTCCTGGAGGCCAATGCTCTGAAATGCAGCCAGCACAGCTGTCCCCTGCAGCTACTGAGGGAGCAAAAAGGACAAGAGATTTCCCTGCTGACTCCCCTCACTCTGTCCAAACGTGGAATGACAGCAAACCATTTAATGGAAGAGAATAAAGGTTAGTAAAGACTGGACCAGTAAAATGGCACACGTCAAACATGTAATGAAGATATTAATACAGAAAGCATGTCCAAGATCTTTTCCAATCAGCAGAGGTCTACAAAGAATAGAAAGAAAGAAGATTACTTGGCACTTTACTATATGGTGATGTTAGTAAACTCGAGTTGTGGTGTTCAGATTCATACTCTTGACCTCTCTTGTGGATATTTTTTTTTTCTTTTTTAGCAGTTACCTCTACTTTCATAGCTGGCTCTTCTGTTTAGGGGACAGCTTTAGAGGGAATGGGACAATAAGAACTATGTGTGTAATACTCACCAGAGAGAAGTTAACCTGAATTTACCTCTTCAAAGAAAAGCAAACACAGATAGTTCTTAGTTACCTGGTAATGCTAGTCTTCCTTATACAATGTTGTGTGAATCAAAAATACAAGCACTCATCAAATGTAACATCCTAAAAAGATCAAACCACTTCTCCCTGGCTTTAAAAGTAACTGTTTCAGTTTCACATGTAGAGAAAAGACTGATTTTTTAATTAATAATGTATAAATGGTACTAACCCTTCTCCATCTCATGAAGATTTGAACTCACTCCAAACTTGTGCTCTTTCTCTTGTGCTGTCGTGAACTTCAAAAAATTAATTAAGTGTTAATAGTGAAGGTTTAACTGGATCAGCACATCAGGTTAAAAGAGGAACATTCAGTTTCTGTATTACATAAAGGAGTCACTGCATTGTACTGCAAATTATTGAAAGAGGTTCAAAACCCCTGACCAATATTGTATGTACCTGGATGACTTCTACGGGCAAAATATCTTTAAAAATTCCTTGTAAGTATACTGGCATAAAGCTCCTTTATAATACTGAAGTGTCCTGCATATAGTGGCTGGGCACCACCTGCAGAATCTGATCCTGAGGGTTAATGGGTAACTTACACAATGTATTTCAGGACTCAGCTTAGGTGTGAATCAAACCATGTAGATTACGGGCCTGAAAGGGCTGTCTACCTGAACCACTTAACTAGAAGCTGTTCTTTCAGGTTCCTTACACAAGCCATGACAGAAAGAAGCTTCCACAGAAGTTAGTTCATTGAGGCTAAATTCAGTTTCTAACTATTGTGGACATTCCTTCTCCACCTCAAATGAATGGTGCGAACAGTAGGTTTGACAAAAACTACATTTCTTTAAAAATCACCTCTTCAAACCCAAAGAGCTGGTTCTGTCTCCAGGCTGATTCTTTCACAGACTCGGTGGCACTGAGGGATGCAAACACAGAGTTCTGTGGTAAGTGATTTCACCTCTTGTACTTTCATTTTCTTTCTGATGTAAAGTCATTACTAGTGACTTTTTTGTGTCCAATTTTTATTTTGTCTTCAGTAACCAGGAAATGCTTTCCACTACTGAGATCATTGAACTTATTTCTGAACCTGAGTTTTAGCATCAAGCATCTGTTTTTCACAAATTTCACTTCCATTGTAATGCAAAATGTAACATGAGAAATGACAGAAGATAGTGCTGCTTTGTAAAGCGGAAGGTGTTATGGATCAGAGCCTCTGATAAAACCATCTTTTGTAAAACACGCAGCCCTCACATATGGTAACTTTAGCCCAAGGAAGACACTAACTTCTGCTGTAGTCAGTGGAAGGAGACAGGGTCTCTTAGTGGGCAAGTCAGAGCAACAGCTTAACTTCGGGGACTCAGAACTGTCCCATGAAGCAGTCATTCTCTACACTTATTATAGGCAGACAAACAATGATACAAAGGGCTTACATGTGCATAAGTTTATTCACATTATTAATTACTATTTTCACTAAGAAAACGTGGGTCCTCAGTAATACTGTTTAGAATTTTGCCTTCATGTCCTCTTAGCAAGGTTTCTCCAATTCAGCAAGGTCTCTGCAGTCATCACTAGTTAATAGAATGATAATTTCTATGGCACTCACCTTTTTTTTCTTGGATAGTTCTGCACATTCTCCTTTAAGTTAATCTGCTGATCCTGGTGATAATCAAGTGTCTCTAAAATAAAAAACTAAACTTTGATATTTTTTTTTAATAGCATAAATGCAATTTGAAAATACATGCTTCTGTCAACTTTTAAAAATAATTTAAATAATTGGATTTTAAATTAAATTTCTGCATGCTGAAGATTCATGACATGTTTTCAGCCAGGAAAGACACATCTCTGTCTATAAAAACATATGCCTTTAAAATGAGAATAAAAACCAGAATATATGTCCTTAAAATATTGACACTCACCAATTTTTTCAAGGCTTGCAAGTTTTTCTTTGTTTCCGGAGGGTATGAAGTAGCGCTGTTGCTCATGACAGTCCTGCAGGTGGGTGTTACGAAGTGCACTGGTTGTCTTGTAGCTTGAACTTGGGGCACTGTTACTTTTAAGTAAAATCTGCTCTGGAGCTGTGAAAATGCCTTCAAGGTGTCGGTCTACAGAACTTTTGGCATTGATTGCAGGATAAGCCTCTCTAGTATCACAAGGATAATTTCTGTTGGTCGTTTTTTTTCTATCATCAGGATCCATGAAAAACATCACAGTACTGCTTTGGTTAACAAAAGGATTAAAATGCTTTGTGGAAGGATTATTATGGACTGGTTGGCTCTTATCTTCAAACAGTCCCAGAAAAGAGCAATCACTTCCATCCTGGGGAGCTTTCAGTTCTGCAGTTTCTTTCACAATACCAAACAATGGTTCTTTTATTTCTTCACTGTTTTCTGACTTGGTATTGGTCATTACCACTGGACTTTTCCTGGCAGAATTCATATAGTCTAGCCTGGGGCTGGGGGGGTGACATGGACAGGGGGTAGAAGAGTAGAAACAGTTTCATCAGCACAGAAGCAAAATACTAACTTCTAACACAACAAATTATGTTAACACAATGAAAAAAAAGCTCAAAGACTTTATTGCTCCTCACACTTGCTTTTATCTCAAATATAGATTATTTCAACTGAAAAAATGTCCTGTATTTTATTTCTGCTTTATAGTAAGGTTGATTTAAAAGGGGTTCTGTTTCATGATGCCTCCAAATATACCAGGACATGGAGCACATCCTTGAGCAGGGAACTGTGATTTATAAAACCAGCCACAGTATGTCACTGCTGCTCCACCAGCTGACCAAAGAGGGCCACTTTGGGGGAAAAAAAAAATTTAGAAAAAAAAAAAGAATAGGAAGACGACTGCAGTTCTCTCCTGTATTGAAAACCAATAAGAAGATCTGTGTACGGCTTAATTCCTGGTCTTTTAAGCAAGTGGCTTTCATCCATTTTTACTTGAGGTCAGTAATCCTAATTCAGCACAGAATTTTTCTATTCCACTGTCAGGAGGCCAGTCAGATGTTTTGTTTTGCCTATACTTCCCTACCCCACTTCTGACAGTAGTGGTTTGAAGACGCTATCATGCTGGCATCATTAGCATGAAAGCTATCGTGCTTTCACTTACTTGGCTCTTAATCTAACTTTTTTGCTGCTTTTTTCAAGGCTTGGTCTGCTTACTGACCTTTCAGAAAATCTGAGCAAAATATTGAGAGGCTCTGAAGCACAGAGACTTGGCAAAAGTGGCCATTCAAAAAATGTCCTTCTTTAAAGAATTTTGAGCAATGCTATCAATGGAACTTGGAAAACTGAAATGTAGCACCAAAAACTCTTATTGCAGAAAATGTTTTGATCAGCAAATACTTGGAACTGGATAAAGATCCTAGAGAACTTAAAGGAGAAAGCAATGTCCTCTACTTACAGAAACAGTTTTAAAAGGCTACATGCATTAGAGTTTGTTTCTGAAGCAAGTGGGATACATCTACATGAGGAAGGTAAAAACATTTTGTGAAGCAATTCAGAGGCTCCTTCTTCACTCCAGCTGAACATCTTGTAACGCTAAGTAAAAGTTAACAGTAGGTGAGGGAATAGCAAAGCAGTATTCAGAGTGAAAGATATCTGCTATTTTTATAAGACATTTAAAATTTTTAGTTAATATTTAATTATCTCAACGTGCCACAGCTCTCAGATATATGCACATTGATTTACACCATCAGTATGTTCCAAATATGATTGTATAAGTTTATACTCTGCTTTTCACACACACTGAAAGAAACTCCCTTCCCAGGAGAACTGTCAGTTCTTGGCGTGTAAGAATTTATGGCTGTAAGGGATGAAAACAAAACAAGAATGAGACAAAGAAATAAATCTGAAGAACAACTGGAAAGGAGATGTTAGTGAGCCATGAATAGATGGAGGACTAAGGGAGGTGCCATAAGCAGGCAAGTGCAGACCTGAGGGCCTGTGGAGAAATGAAAGGCAAGATGTAGGCAAGATAAGGTTACGTAGGGCTTTAATGTAAAGATATTCATTGGGAATTCACCAAGCAAGGTCAAAGTTATCCTCATTTTAGTTTTTGCTGGAGAAAGCCAGGAGAAGCCAGGAGAAGAAAGAAAGTTAAGAGGGCTAAGACTGGAAGCTGGAACCATCTATTTATCATGTGGTCAGTGAGCTTATCAGTCACTTGACTCCCCAGGCATACAGGCTGTAGGTACTTCTGGAACAGCTAAATAGCATCTGGCCTTTTTATGGCTCTGTCCAGCCAAAGCTTGAGACTGAGAGGAACTTTCATCCAGACAGCAGACTTACAGAATAAAAAAAGAAAGATTAGCCCTGTAAGTCCCTTACATCCAAGGCAAAACCCCCTGGAAAGAAACTAAAATAAAATGTTCAGTATAAATTAGTCTGGCCCTAAACCCTCTGTGATTAAAAATATTTTTAATCAGAAGATACAAAAAGAAATATATTCTAGATTTCTAGCCATTTTTAAAAAAGTGTATATTCTCATAAAAGTATTATTGAACCAATTCTAAAAGAAAAAAAAAACTATAGTAGGATTACACATGAAAGAGAAGGGGAAAAATGCTTTATTCCTGGAATCCCAAATGTAAACAACGTAGGTGAGGAAGTTGCTCAGTCACTACAACATCAACATTATCATAAAAACACTTGCAACAGTGACCAGAACTAATGAGACTTGGGATAGCTACCCTCCCTGTAGCCTCTTAGTAAATTCATGTTTCTCAGAGTGAATTCAGTAATACCACCACGTTTGTGACATTGCAAAAAATTGATCATGGTCCCAACTGCATACCTAAAATTCCCATTTTGCTGCCTTTAAGCAGATTTAAATAGCTTTGTATGTTCAGTCTTTCTATTTAATTTCCATTTCTATTTGAAAAGCACCAAATATCAGTGAAAAAGCAAGTAGCGATAAGTTTCAGATTACTTTATTATTTGTCTTACTTAAAATTGACTGTTATTTCTCTCTTTAATGTAAAATTACTGCCTACCTACGCAATGGTTTAAACAGCTCCTGCGGCACTGTATCAGATTTCCTGAAAATAAACTGGCTTGGAGGTTTTGTAATCCAAGGGTTTTGATCAGAATTATTTCCTAGCTGAGAAAACAGTAGAAGTTGTAAAACTTTGAATATATTTATTAGTTACAGTGGTTTAAACTTTAATAATATACATGTTTGCCCACTATTTTTACTTCTTTTTACCTTTACAGTAGAAGTCAAAACCTCCTTACAGCCCAAGTTCTGTATAACTCATACTTTTCCATATTTGTGTATCATTGTTAATATGCAAAATGTCCTCTGAGCACCCCATTGCCCCATAGCATGAACAAGCTTGATAGACTGTGACAAGCTGAAGTTCCACTGGAGACCACATAATCATAGTGAGCTGTTGCTGGAAGGGACCTCAAGAGGTATCTAGTCCAACCTGCTCAAAGCAGGCCAGCTCCAAGGTTAGGCCAGAATGGTCAGGGCTGTTCAGGACTGAGCTTCCACAGCGTGTTTGGATGGCCTCTTCTGGTGCTTAGCTACCTTTGTGACAATATTTTTGCCCTATACAAACAGAATTTCCATTTTTGAAACTTGTGACTTGTATTTCTTGCCATTTCACTGTGTACCTCCAGCTCTGCCCTGCCTGTAACTCTGTTTAGACTGTGGAAGACAGCATTTGTTTCACACCACACCCCTATAGCCTTCACTTTCCCAGGCTATGAAAATGCTCTTTGCTCACACTCTTCACATTCATCATGTGCTCCAATCCCCCAACAACTTTTGTGGAACTTCATTGGTCTTGCTACAGTTTGCTGATCTCTCTATTGTACTGGGCATCCCAAAACTGGATACAGTATTTCAGATCTGTTCTCACATACACTGCTCAGAGGGAAATAATCACTTCCTTTTGACTGCTGGTTATGATCTTTCTAATACAGCCCCCTATGTAGTTGGTCTTCGCTGCTACAAGGGTACACTGCCGACTCATGTACAACTTGTTGTCCCCCACCACCCTCAAGTCTTCCTGGACGCTTTCTGCTTGTCAAGATTGCTCTGAGTAGCAGCTGTGCTGCTGTAATGATCACTCTGCCAATTTGGTGTCATGCCCCAACCTGCTGAGGTGCTGAGGGTGCACTCTGTTCCATTGTCCAAATCTCTAATTAATAGGTACCAGACTTGGTATCAATCTCTGGAGTTCCCTGCCATTACTGATCTCTTGACAATTAGACTTTAGCCCACAGACAACTATTTTGAGCATGATGTTAACAGCCAGGTTTTTTTCCATCTTTTTGTCCACTCATTTGGTTCAAACCTCCCTGCTTTGGCTACTAGGATCCCATATCCCTTGTCAAAAGCCTTCCTAAAGTCAAGGTAAATATCTGCTGCTCTCCCTTATTTATAGAGCAAATAATTTCATCACAGAAGGCAATCAGGTTCATCAGGCACAGTATGGCCTCAGTAAGTCTGTGATGGCTGTTCCCAGTCACCTTGTTCTTCAGGTACCTTGGAATTGCCACTAGGAGGTCTGGTTCCATAATCCTTTCAGGGACAGAGGTGAGATGATACTTCCTCAGATCATGCTTATGTTTCTGCAGATGGGCACAACATTTGTGTATTTCGTGTCATTGAGAAGCTTTCCTGATCACCACCATCTTTCAAAGATGACTGACATCTGCTCTGCAGTGGTGTCATCCAACTCCCTCAATATACGTGGATGCACCCTGTCCAGTCCCATGTATTTCTTTGTATTCAGGTTACTAAGGTCTCCCTAACTTGTTCCATCACTACTGTTTTGTACCACTCTCCCCCAAACTCTCTACTGAGCTTGAAGATGTGCCAGAGAGCAGACTTTTTCAGAAAAGCCTGAAGCAAAGCAGGTCTCAAGTGCCTCATATTTCTCCATGTCCTCTGTCACTGGGTCAACTCTATTTAGCAGTGGACAGCATTTTCCTTGGTTTCCTTTTGCTGATGACATACCTATAGGAGTCCTCCTTGCTGCCCTTCTCATCCCTTGTGAGTTTCAGCTCTGACCACCCTAATGCCACCCCTCCAGGCTCAGGGGATGCTTCTGTACTCTTCCTGGGTGGCCCATCGAGGGAATGGGGCACGCTTCCTTTTTGCATTTTTGCTTAGTCAGGAGTTCCCTGATTCAGCCAAACTGGCCTCCAGGACCTACTCATTCTCGTGCACATTGAGGTGGACTGTCCTTGTGTTTTGAAAATGTCTTTCCTGGGCTCCTTTCTCCTTCAAGTCAGCTTCCTGTGGGTTTCTGCCCACCCGTTCCCCAAACAACCCATCATCTTCCCTTCTGAAGCCCTGAAGTATTCCTTCCTCACTTACCTCAAGAATTCTAAAATATCACTGGTGATACACGTAGAATTTTTTATTATTTTCAATAAATAATACATTTTCTAAAAACAAATCATATTTTGAGAATCTCCTTATATTTGCTATTACTTTTCTAAGGATGATTCTTTTAAGAACCCCAAAGTTAACAAAACCAAAAAATAGTGACATGCATTGGAACAAATAACTTTCAATCATTTTTTAAACTTAACTTGATTTAAACAGCAGACTTTTCTCTATCCTTTTAGGAGCATTGAGAATATTGTAACTATGTTACTTACTGAGACACTCACAAATTAGGTCATGGTGATCACCTAGGATCATATGATACCCAGTTATACTAATTGTACGTTTTAAAAAGCTGTATTTATAATTGTAATACATTTCAGCTTTCTTTAACCAACTTTACAAGCCAGAAACGAAAGAAAGCCAGTGGCATGTGACTCTTTCTGCAGGTATCAGTGATACTGAAAGCTCAGTGAATGAATGCTCAGGTTAAAAGTATTTCATAACAATAAAATAAATATATTCACATATATGGAACATTCATTGCCACCAGCCTACAAGAAATGTTGATAATTTGTAACTATCTTCACCATTACACTAATTCTACACTCCAAATGAATGAAAGTTAGTTTAAAATAATTCTGCAGAAATGACAAAATATTAATCAAACCTGGTTTTGCAGCTTGTCTTCACAGGTCTGTTCCCAAGTGTTGTCCCCTTGGTTTGTGTTGAAATTTTCTTCTGAAAATTGTGTACAGTTAGAAGACCAAAAACCAGAAGAGGACAATGGACAGGCACTAAAAGCTCTTGCTATGTTGTCTTCATGTTCCATACAAGAGTCAGCATACATTAATTCTGTTACTTCTGATAACTAGACAAAATATAACAGAGACATTTTATTTATCTAAAACTGTTTAGATGTAAGCATACAGTTCTAAGTAATAAAACCTTGCTATATCCTTTATATCTCTGCATGTATACCACATTCAAGAGAAAATTTTCATGTATTCCGATATGATTTTTTTATTAAAAAATAACATAACATGGGCTTAATAATCTCTGTACCTTCTGACTACCTAAGAGCACAGATATTCTTAAGTATTTTGAAAAATGCCTAAAACAAGGTGACCCTTTCAAGAAATACATGTAAGAAATATCAGGAACAAATACAAAATAGGACTGGGAAATAATACATCATATATGTATAGCCTTAAGGAGGAAGAATTCACATGTTTCAGTATCCGTGTGATTTGGTCACTCTGAAAAAACCACTTAAAAATACAGTCATTGCTGCACATCTTTAGCTTTACATCAGTGAGAACAATAAACTTCCTTACATTATGCTGGTATTTTACTTTCTCTGAGAGATGCTGCCTTCTGCTGTCCAATACTTGCTTTTGTAACCTTGTAAAATGAATAAAAAGAGCCTATGAAAGACAAGATTCAAGATCTATACGATTAAAAACATTCTGAGTATTAATTTCAAAATAATTTAAGAATAACTTTCCACATATCATAAAAAGGCCTAGTTCTTAAGCAGTTATTAGCAGCCAGTATGTGAGTCAGTCACTTTAGGATGTCTGAAGTTGGATGGGAAAACAGTGTAAGTGGAAAATGCGTTTGAATAGCCTCCTCTGTGAGATAAATTTAGTGTGTGTACCTGACATGAGTAAAGAAACATTGGGTTTTTTTAATATCTCTGCTTCATGTACCCTTTTAATTTAGAATACATTTATTTCTTCTCTCATAGGAAGAGTATCACTGGAATGCCAGGAGTGATTTTGAAACTTCTTCATCTTAGAATGGTATATTCATGTTTACTTAATATTCCAAATAGAAGACCATCATAAAATACCTTTTCCAGAATGTCATTATAGCTTAACTACTGCCTATTTTATACAAATACCTGTTCTGGATGTCATCTAAGTTTGATGCATGTTGTGTACGTTGTGGTGACGTGGGAAGCTGTATGTTGTGCCTCTGAACAGGTATTTTTACATTTTTGGTGATGTCAATGTGGACTGGCTTCCTCGTATTCTCTGCAATTAAAGTATTTGAAATGTCAGCACTGGGCTTGGATAAAGTTTTGAGCTTCCTGAATTTTCATGAGAGTACAAAATTTGATAGTTTAGTTTTCTTGATCCATTTAAAGCCATATTTTTTCCTTTGTTACTAGCAATGCAAGAGCTCTATTCTAAATGGCATTACAGTATGAAATTATTTAAGGTCAGCTGCAGTGTGTAGACAGGCTCTGTTGCTCTCCTCAGTCACCCTCTAATTTTCCTGAGCTTAGGACAACAAATTCTCCACAATTGGGTTTATGACTATGTCACAGAACAAAAGAGTTAGGACACAAGCTGGTGAGATTTTTTTTTGGGAGCTTAATGATGAATTTAAAGAATGATACTCTTGGTAGAGCTGACAGACTATTCCAAATGCCACTCCAAAGTTATGAAAAAGGAAGTGGAATACAAATGGTCCTATCCAATAGCAAAGGGAAAAAGAAACAGATGTAGGGTAAAACTAATGAGTGGAATGAGGAAGGTACACGAGTGTGCAAGGCTTTAAAGGTGAAGTAGACAGTAGCCAAGGTTATTTGATTCCTCTCCAGTCCTGACTTTTTATTAAATCATAATTTTTGTATACACTTACATTTTTTTTAATTTTAAAAATAAAACAACACTTACTTGAGCATTAAGTTATAAGTTGAAGAACAAGAACTAAAATAATAGCAGTAATATTTAACAGAACCAGTTGTCCTTAACTGTTACACTAAACTCACCCGTGTTGTCTTTTTTGCTTGATATCTGGTTCACAACATACAGATTGAGGAGATCTAAACTGATTGCTGAACTTCTAGGAGATGATATTCCCAGAAGCTTCATTCTTGATTTAAGTTTCTTCTTTTCAAAGAATTCCTAAATTTTTTAAAAGAGAGAATAAGTTTTTGAGAGAAGCTTCAACACGCTTCCAGTATATAGTTCTTTTGAAATCAGCATGTAAGACTTAGTAAACAATTCCTAATAATAAAAGTACATGAGTGAATCTCTCTGAATTCTCACACCCTGCCTACTGTTATTTAGTTTACTTTTATTGTCTTGAAAAAGACTACAGATACACTTTGGTCATATTCAAAACAAATCTTTGTTCACTTGATGCAAAAAATCCTTAAACACTCATGACTCAAACTATGTGTATGATCATTAAAATTATTTCTGTAGAATAAAAGTCATACCAAAATGCTGCAAGGAAAAATTCTTCACAAAATTTAAACTTGGGCTTTTTAGGCAGCTTACAAGCTAGTAGGCAAATAAATGAGCAAGATTTAGTCACACGTCCATCTACAAACACACAAAGAGTTTATTGTTCTCCAAATTTGTCTTTCTTGACATACAAAATAGTTTTGTGACCAGAAAAAAAGAGAGAAAAAGTAAAGAAAAAATCTTTAAGACTGGGACTTCAGAAAGACTTTTTGTTGCAAGGAACAACAAGAGACATAACTGACACTTCCAATATATGAAGCAGATAATTCTGGAAAATTTAGGAAACAAAAATTTCCATTTCATAGGAGACTACTAATAGTTATCTTAAAATCATTAACATCAAGCATAGCAGGTGAATAAATCAAAACAAGAAGATTTCTCTATTTTAACCACCAGAAGGATATTGAAAACTGAAGGCTGTGCCAAAACACAAAACAGCATTGGCCTTTCTTCTGAAATGTAATGCCTCTCGTGATTGCAGGTCACATGTAACTAATACACCCAATATGTAAGTTGGTAACTATTTTCCAGTATAATTTATTATATTACTATCTTTAGCTTTCTAGGATGTTATCATCTGTGGAAAATACCTGTTCTTCAGTTAAGAAAAAATAAGGAAAATTCAGCCTGTGTACAAATCAACACTTCAAAATTCATATTGCTTTGGAGTCTACACCCCCAAAATGTATCCATGTCCTTTCAATGTCTCAGATATTTTCTTCTCAGCACCTCTAAATTACTAAATTACTGTTAATTCTGTAATAGCAATTACAAAATCACCACTGTTTAGTAATTTAGTAATTTAATACTAAATTACAAAACACAATCCTGTCTTGGATTCTTTCCTGTTCTCTCTATATTCAACTGAAGCAAATTACATAGTTGTAATGTAAATTATGTGGCTTAGACCAATAAATGGGTGAAAGAACAGGTATTTAGAGACCTCACAGGCCTCCAGGAAACTGGGAAAGCAGTGGAGGTAATAAACTGCTGGGTCCTCTCACATTCACTTAGGTAAATGTTTTCATTTCAGGGATTATCTCCACACTGTCCGCCTGTTTTAGCTCCTCCTGTATGTGCCAGGGTAACAGCTTCAGTGGTGGAGCTTCCCTATACTGTCCACTTTTTCCCAGCTGCTGAGGAGGAAACTGATTTATCTATGGCTATAACTATCTTCTCTTACTGTTTTCTTTCACCTTCCTGTTTGAAATGTCTTCTGCTATGCCAGGGATAAATTTCATTCTATTGTTTCACTTTCAGATTCAAAATACAAATAAGCTGCTCTGCTTTTGCAAATGCCAGAATAAAATACTTCAACGAGCCTAACATTCTTTTATGTAGCCCAGGAAAATAGCTGTGTGTATGTGTTAGGTTAGCTGACCACGTGGTTTTCACTTCAAGAAATCCCATGTGTCAGCACATACCAACAAATATAGTAATAGAAGTAATTCAGTAAAACTTAAATTGGGCACATTCATTCATACATTCATGCCTTCTCCTACTCTCTCCTCTTCATGCTGGAATTAAGTGTGGTAAACCTAGAACAAGATTTCTGCCCTAAAAGTTACATGCAGTCAGACAAACACATTACAAGTCTTACACTACAGTTTTAAGTCTCACTCCAGTATAAAATACAAGATGGCTAGAACTGTTTACCTTTTGCTTTCTCCTTTCCTGCTTTAACATGATTCTGCTCCTGAAAGATACAAATAATTACTTTTTAAATTGTAAGATTTTAATCTTGAGCCATGGACTGAATTTCTCATCAATGGTATTGAGAATTTAGGACACAAATATGTTATGTTACGTTACGTTACGTTACGTTACGTTACGTTACGTTATGTTATAATGGATTAAACCTTCAGGTAGTAAGGTCAATGTATCTCTGCTGAAGCCACTTTGATCCTGATTTACTCAGGTAAGGATAGGACCACATTCTATCTTAGGCCTACCAAATACATTGAACATTCAGAAGGAAGAGCTTTTAGACATTTGACCTGTAATGCAACATTTCATCAATTCTTCATTTCTTAAAAAATTGTAAGAAATCTTTGTCAACATACTAATTTCTCCTAATTTTCTTTGTCATGCTGCAACATAGTTACAAAACCATATGAGCAAAGAAAACAAAGGAGCACAGTACAAGTTTCAACCTTTTGGGACTTTACAGAATATTTTGTTTTGTAAAAAAGGCAAGAAAAATAAGATTGTCACTACAATCTTCTATTGAGCTTCTGTTGCTTGTGCAATATAGGACACATTTATACCTTAAACTACGTATCTTGCTTGTTAAACATTGTCTTAAATGAATTGCTTACAGGACATGGTGCATAAACTTGGAGCTCTGAGTCACTACTCTAAGCAGAGTATGGCTGCAATTCTTGGGTCAGTAAGATTAGAACCTTTTTGAGAGAGTTAGAAATATGGAGTATCCCCTTGGAATTACTTTTTTTTTCTTTACTGTGCTTAAAGCTAGAACACACTTTCAAGACATATGCACATAACATTTACCCTTGCAGTGAGTAGAAGCCCCAGTAATAGTTTTTCTGACACCTGAAAAGCAAATCCCAGACTCACCCAAGGAATCCGACAAATAACAGCAGCAGAAAGCAGCAGGGTGCTTTGCTATTTGCTGAGTGCAATATTCCTGTATGCTGTTTTTTCTTACAGACAGAATAGTATGATAGATGGGCATTTAGGACAAAGTTGGGGTTGTGGGTTTTTTTGTTTGGTTGATTTGTTTTGTTTTGGTTGTTTTTGTTGTTTTTTTTTTCAAACTGAAGCTCTCCCTTCACCCTGCTTCACATAGGCAGCTTTCAGAAACCTCATTTTGCTGGGAAGACTTACAGATGGGTAAGGCGTTATTTTAGATTGATTCTGCATAGAGTTAAAGCTGTGTTTAGTAAAGCTGCTTTCAAATGGCCGACAAAATCTCTAGGGTTTAAAGTTCTAGTAGACAGGCAGATGGCACAGCACCTAAAGAAACTGAATATTGTCTTTGTTTCTAACATTGTAACTCAGCTGGTGGTTATTTTACTATTTCAGTGAATCTCAATAACTATACATCTTTTCTCCCAAATGGTTTTTTTCACTGCCATTTGTGAAGGTGTGAGGAAAGGCCCAGGTGGGAGGGCCTCACCCAGCCCTAATCTGTGGAGAGAAATGAGTCCTGAATATCACCCACTTTGCCTGGCATGGGAGAGCACTTGCAACTCCTCACACAGAGGGGACACCAGGCCTGAAACACACCATGTGACCCTGCCATTCTGTGAGGGGACACTTAGAGCTGTTACACACACCATGGCCCCACCATTCTGTGAGGGGACACCAGGGCTGTTACACACATCATGGCCTGTTGGTCTGAGGGGAAACCAGGGCTATCACACACAACATAGGTATGCCTGGTCTCTGAGGGGACACTGGCTCAGCATGGAGCTGTTTCTGGCAGCCTTTGAAGGGTTTCACTCACCTGCTGCCGCCAACCCAGTTCATTTTCTGCCGCTGAGGAGGGCAGGCTGCTGTGTGTGGTGCTGGGAGTGGAGAGGGGAGGCAATGGCCACCACAGAGATGGTTTCCCGCCTCCTGACAGGGCTGCAGTACCCTCCTGCAGGGCCGCCTCCTCTCTGGGAGCACTAGGGCAGCTGCTCTCCATGCCCTAAGGCTGCCTGGTGCTGGCAGGGAAGAAGTAGAGAGTGGCACAGGGACAGACAGCGAAAGGAGTACAGTGCAGAAAGCCAAGTGGCACAGGCTGATGGGGAGGTAGTGATGCCCTGGTTGCTGCCATCCTTTCTCTACCACTGGCACTTCCATACAGACTGCTGCCAGAAGCCATTGCACTTTTGCAAGGGAATCACATTCACACTTATTGGAGTAGGTTACACAGCTGTTGATGTTTTGTCTTTCAGGCTCAGCTCATGGTGTCATTGCTACAATTGCCATAATTTCTACGGTGAAAGAGAAGCATCTTCCTCTCCATCCTGCTCTTCCTCCGGTATTTTAGGGGCAACGGGAGAACCAACAAGCATTTTCTACAAGTAGGTGTTCTCCTTCGAACTGTCTGATAAGCTTTTGTGTGTAAACAGCGACAAACCCCTGAGGAGGGATGCAGAGCTGGTACTCCAGGGACATTTCTGCAGCAAAGCAGCTCCCCTTGCTCCCTTCCCAGTGACTCACTGCCATCATTGCAGCAAGTGAAAGCACCCGTTTAGTGAACAAACATTAAAATTGTATATAAATATTTTCGCGCAGCATTTCCTTACTGAGTTACCTTTAGCCTAACATTTTTTAGGGTACTAATGCTTGATTGCCATTAGTACAACAAAGCAGAAAGTGCTCAGAGCAGATATTAGGAGCCTAATATTAAAAATTAGCCAAGAATTTTTTCTTTCTAATACTTTTAATTTTGCTAGGGTGTTTCTAGAATCCACACCTAAAAGATTATAAAAGTTAAAAGATATGCTTCTCTGAAATATCATTAATTAAACTGAATAAACTTATTGGACAGAATGTTTTATTGTTGTAATAGTCACCGTATTTCTGATTAGTATGAATAATTGCTTCTTGTAACAATACTAGATGAAACACTTAATAGTAAAATATATCTGTATTTTAAGTGTGGGTGC